GCCCCCCTTTCAAAACTCCATTCTCATTCGCTCGGCGGCGCCTCAGGAGGGTAGTTTCCCCCGGTGCTAGAGGGGTGGACAAACGTCAGCTTCTCAGGCGCGTTGTGGCCGTCCCTCGCCGGCACCGGCCGCCTGTCGCTTGATGAGGGCGGTGATGGCGCGAACGGTGGGGCCTGAATGACGATGGCCTCCTTGTGTGGGGAGCCCGCCCGGCCGAGTGGGAAGAGGATGCGCTGCTCGACGGCCCGCTCCAGCTCCCGCATCTCGTCTGTCACCTCGCTGTCGCGCTGGGTAGAAACCTGATGGGACAACGGAGAGAAAGAGTGCATGTCTGTCTGTGTGTCAGGGTGTTGGGTGTGGGAGTTGGGGTGGGGGGAAGGTGTGGCTGGCTGACCTGCTGTAGCAACCTGAGGCTGTTGCTGAGCCTGTCGTGTGACTCTTTCCTGGCGCTCTCCACCGCCTGGATGGCCACCTGCAGATTCTGCTCGCTCTTGCCTGTGGCCGACTTCATCTTGAGCAGCTGCGCCTTCAACGCCTCGGCAGCTGCCCGCCTGTCCGAGTCGATGTCCTGCAGCTGCTTCCTCAACCTCGCCCTCTCGGCCTCGGAAGACTCCCGGTACTCGTGCAGCTTCCGCGTGAGCGACTCTTCGCTTTGCCGCTTGGTCGCCTCAACCTGCGAGAGCTGCCGCCTCAGCTCGCCTTCCGCCTGGGCGTCCTTCCTGGCGATGGCCGCCTGGAGGGCCTGCTGGTGCTCGGCCTCCTTGGCCGCCAGCAGCCGCTTCGTCTCGGCGTCCTTCTGGGCGAGCTTGAGAGGCACCTCTTTCTGGGTGCTGTCCAGCCGCTGCTCGGCTGATGTCAGGGCCTTCTTCAGATCGGCTTCACGCGCGTCGGCCGATGCACGCATCTGTATACAGAGAGAGAGAGAGGTGGGTGGGGGCAAAGTGTGTGTGTGTGGGTGAGGTGAGGTGAGGTGACCCTTCGAAGTGCGGTGGCGAGTTCCTCTTCCCTCCGCGCCTTTTCGGCCTCGATAGCCTCCAGCTGACTCTGCACTTCCGCCTGCCGCCTTAAGGAGATCTCCTCGAGAGACCGCAGCTGCTCAGCCGCCTTCGCCTCAGTGGCCTTTTTCGACTCCTGACAACACAGGAAAACATGACAGGACAAGGCAGTGTGCGTGAGGCGTGATCAAAGCCACTTCGTCTGGCTGAATGGCCGTGCCTGTAGCTCTGAGAGGGCTTGGCGGAGGTTCTCCTCGTTGGCTTTCTTCATGGCTTTGAGTGAGGAGAGCTGGCTCTTGAGGTCGACCTCTGTCTGCTGGCTGTCATGCTGCAGAGACCCCAGCTGCTTCCTCAGCTCCGCCTCGCGCTTGCTGCTCGCCTGATGGATACCGACCACACACACATCAGATGTCTGGGTGTTGCGTTGGGTGCTGGTACCTCTTTGGTCTTGGCCACTGCCGATTCCAGCTCCGCTTTCGAGCTGACCCGCAGCGACCGCAGCGAGGCCGTCAACTGCTCAACTTCACGCTGCTTAGTGCCAACAGCCGCCTGCAGCTGCCGTTCAAATGCACTCTCCTTGGCTATGGCCTCCTCCTCAAGCTGACGCAGACTCTCTCTCAGCTGGGCCTCGTTCTGCCTCAGTGCGGCCGTCTCCTTCTCCAATGTGTCCCTGATGCTCTTCTCGCTGGCGGCCTTGGCCTCCCGCAGGTCCCTCAGTGCGGTTGACAGCTCCTCCACCTCACGACCCTTGGCAGTGACGAGGGTCTCCAGCTGTTGAAGCAGCTGGGTCTCGTGGGCTGCTGAGGCCTCCTGCAGCTGACGCATCTCTTCAGCACTCTTGGAGGCGATGCTCGTCTGGCTGCCCAGCTGGGCCTCCATCCGCTGAAGGGCATGGCGCAGCTGAGTCTCGCGCGCGTCGGCCTCGGCACGAACCTGACACGCCGCAGACACAACGCACGAATGGATGGCATGGATGGATATGGTTCTTCGGTTCTTACCCGTGCGAGTGATGCGGTGAGTTCTCTCTCCCTGCGTGCCTTCTCGGCCTCGACGGCCTCCAGCTGGCTCTGCACCTCCGCCTGCCGCCTCACACCGAGCTGCTCCATCGCACGCAGATTCTCAATGGCCTTCTCCTCTGTCACCTTCTTCGACTCCTGAACACTCACACACACGTACACACATAGCACGTTGAGAAACGGCGGCAGGCGCATCTCTCGTATCGATCGGCTGCTAGTCACCTGTAGTTCTGACAGGGCTTGTCTTAGGTTTGCCTCGCTGGCTGTCTTCATGGCCTTGAGCGACGAGAGCTGGCCCTTGAGGTCGACCTCTGTCTGCTGGCGGGCCTGCTTGAGAGACTCAAGCTGCTTCCTCAGCTCCGCCTCGCGCTTGCTGCTCGCCTGATGGACACGAGCACACACACATCAGATGTCTTCATCCATGTCCGTGTGTCTCCTTCCCTGGTACCTCTTTTGTTTTGGCCACGGCGGATTCCAGCTCCGCTTTCGAGCTGACCCGCAGCGACCGCAAAGAGGCCGACAACTCCTCAACCTCACGCTGCTTGACACCCACAGCCGCCTGCAACTGCTTCTCAATGGTGGCCTCTTTGATGGCCGCCTCTTCCTGCAGCTGCCTTATCTCCTCTGTGAGCTTGGTCTCAATTTCGTTCTTGGAGATCTCCAGAGCAGCCAGCTGAGAACGGAGATCGGCCTCGCGAGAGTCAGCCTGGGCTCGCACCTGAAAGGAGACAACCGGCAAACACGTGTGGGGCGGTCACATGAGGATGTGTGTGCGCTTGTCACCTGTCGGATTGCGGTTGTAAGCTCGTCCTCTCGTCGCGTCTTTTCCGCTTCCACTGCGGCCAGCTCGGCCTCGAGCTCTCTCTCGCGCGCGGCGGTCATGGCCTCCAGCTCCTCCAGACTGGTGCTCAGCCGCTCCAGCAGCGCCCGGTCCTTCTTGGACTTCTCGAGGGCCAGCAAAGACAACCGCAGGTTCTGCTGGACGGCGAAGCTCTGGCTGCTGGCCTCCTGGGTCTCGCGTAAGGTGTTGAGGAGCTCCTGTTCCTTGGCCTGCTTCTCGTCCTCGACGGCCGCGAGCTTCTCCTTCAGAATGGCGATCTCCTGCGCGCTCGCCTCCTGCACCTCCCGCAGGCTCTTTGTGAGCTGGTCCTCGTTGTTCTTCTTGTCGGTCTCGAGAGTCTGGAGGGCCTTGCGCAGGGTGGCTTCGCGGCTGCCGGCCTCGCTGCGCACCTGACGAAGGGCTGTGGAGAGATCGTCCTCCCTCTTGCGCTGAACAGGGCAGACGCTCATATGGCCCATTGATGGGTGTTTCTTTGCATCGGTTTGTTGCTGTGTGTGGAATCACCTTTTCGGTCTCAAGGGTACTGAGTTGTTTTTTGAGGCTGTCCTCTGTCTGTGAGTAGTTGGTCTGGACCTCCTCCAGCTGCTGTATAAGCCGACCCTCGTTCTCAGCCTTCTCGCGATCCAACCTGCAGCCACACACACAGACGCCCACGTGCGCGTATGGCGGGATGGATGGAGGAGCCTTGACTGCCGCACCTCTGAAGCGTCTTCCTCAACATGGTTTCGCTGGCCTGTTTCTTCTCCCTGAGGTCCTTGATGGCCTTGCGCAGCTCCGCCTCCTTCTCGGCCTTGGTGGCCTCCATCTCCTGCACCTTCGCCCTCAAAGCCGTTTCGTTGTCCGTCTTGAAGTCGAACTCGTTGATGCGGTACTGCACAGGCAGCTGGGGGGAGGAGATGTGACGCTGTGGACCGGTGCCGTAAGCGTTTGCTTTGGGGGGTGCCTCGAAGAGCTTGTTGAGGAACGACAGCCAACCACCTCCCTCATGCTTGTCTGGCCTCGACTCGACGTGCTGTGAGTACTTTTTCCGACGCTTCGGCTGGATCACCTGTGTGCATCACCGACAAGCATCCATCCATCCATCGATACACACACGTACGAGCTCGAGTGCTGACTGCATGTAGCTGTCGGTTACCGTTGGGTTGGCAAAGACGCGGACGGGGGAGCCGTCATTGCGGCCAAACGACTTGAGAAAGGAGAAGGGCTTCGGCTGCAGGCAGACACAGACACATTTGATCGATGAACAGACGCACCAAGTGGTGATCTCGCTTGCTGCCAGCGTACCTTCTCCTCGGCATTCAGACGGGTCTTGAGCTGCCCTGTGTGCGGCAACACAGGCCTCTCGCGCGGCTGACTCCTATGCAGCTTTGCTGCCCTGATCTTCGAGTCAGCCGGGAGAGTGCTCTCGGGAACGAAGGCCGTCGCCTTGGTGTCGGTAAGAAACGCCAACACGACTGCGGATGCCACCATGAGTCCGCTCAGCAGCATCGTCACGCCAGCATCAGTTCAGGACGCGCTGATCTTTCTTTAAAAGCGTTGATGTAGCCTGCCTCATCCAAGAACGTCACCAAGGCAGTCTCTACACGACGAAGAATCTGCGGCGGCGAGTAACGTTTCTGAGCTCGCAGAGCGATCGCGCGAGAGGCGGCGAAAAGTGAAGATCTGAGGCTTTTGGTAAGGGCAGGTGCACACTCATCGCGCACACTTTAACATGTGGAAGTGGCTTATTCATCTGATGACCTTTTCGTTCGTGTTTCAAGAGCTCCACCAAGGCGATTCGGGATGAGTAAGACGGAGTTCGTCAGCCCAGAGGGCTTCCGCATCGACGGCAGGAGGCCCTCCGAAATACGCACATTCCGCTGCCAGGTCGGTGGAGTGTCGCAGAACGCCGATGGGTCGGCATACGTGGAGATGGGCTGTACCAAGGCACTTGCATACGTCTACGGGCCCAAAGAGGTGCATGTTGAAGACACTCACGACAGTATTTGCATGGCATGGCATTGTTCTTTTTCGCTCATTCCTCACTGAGTGCAGGCTCGTCGGGGTGCGATGAAGACGCAGTGTGGTGTGTTGACGTGTGAGGTCAGCCTGGCGCCCTTCAGCACCGCAGACAGGAGGAAACGATCAAGATATGACAGGTGGGCAGGCAGGCGTGCAGACAGCACGCCAGCACTCATGTGGGTGAGAGGATTGCTTGCAGGCAGACGGTCGAGTTGGCTTTGACGATTCGTCAGGCGTTCGAGAGCAGCATCCTGTTGGAGCTCTACCAGAGGGCACAGATCGACATGTTCGTGCACATACTCGAAACAGACGGAGGTCAGTCAGTCAGCCATATTGCCTGCATGGCGAGGTGCCAATGTGTCTGGTGCTGCCTGGTGTGTGTCTGTTGGTTAGGTCACAAGGCGGCGGCAATCAACGCATGCAATCTGGCGCTGATTGATGCCGGCATCAACATCCGCGACTCGCTTGTGGCGTGCTCGGCGGGATACATCGACGGCAGGCCGATCGTCGACATGAACCAAGCCGAGATCAACGCCGGTGGGGTCGAACTGCTGCTCGGCGTCTTCGCGCGCACACGGAAGGTGACTCTTCCTTCAGTGGCCACGTGCACATAGACGGCTGCCTTGCCGATGAAAGACGGCTGTGTGCCTTGCTTTGTCTGTGTAGGTGAGTGTGATAGAGATGGACTCCAAGATAACTCCTGAGGTGTTCCAGGAGACGTATGAGGCGTGCATCGCGGCGTGCAGAGACCTTTATACTGCCATGGAGACCGCAGTGAATGACACGGCGCTGCGGCTTGTTCACTCAAAGTGAACGAGTGGGTGAGTGAGTGTGTCTCATTGGCAGATATGTACGTGTGTACGCAAGTGCTTCTACTGGATCTGTACAGTGTGTGATTGTGATTGTGATTGTGATTGTGATTGGCTGTGTTAATGAGTGAGTGAGGCAGCGCTGAGCGACTGAGTGATTGATCGATTGATTGTCTCATTCTCGTGGTGACGTCGGAGTGATGCAGCCGGTTGGCGGTGGGTGGGCGGACTCTCAGTCGCAGCACCTGATGCACCCCCCTCCCCCTCAATTCAACATGCCCCTCTTCCCCACCCACACGCACCACCCACAGGTCAACATGCCACAGCTGGCGGCGGCAGCAGCCACCATGGCGATGCAGATGCAGATGAGCCAGCAAGCCAGTCAACAGGCAATGATGGAGGACAGCCAGCTGCACATGGCGTCGCAGACACTCTCACAGACACAGCCACAGCAGCTACCTCCACCCAAGACTGGCATGCGTAAGCACACAAGCAGGGAGACACACACAAAGTCACGGCAAGCAAGGAGGGAGGAATGGAAATGTGTCGTGTCTCTCTCTCTCTCTCTGTGTGTGTGTGTGTGTGTGTTGTGCAGAGGCACTCAAGCAGCGGCTGATGGATGTAAGTACACAGAGAGAGAGGGATGCTGTCTCCACGTATGTCCTTATTTGTCTGTGTGTGTGTGTGTGTGTGTCCCGATTCACCAGAAGCAGCGGGTGCAGAGCATGATGCGGCCTCAGATCCACACACACGGCATCATCTCATCGCAACAGCCACAGCAGTCACAGCAGCAGGAGGGCCACACACACGCCGCTGCCGTCCCCAAGTCGAAGCCCAAAATCTATCGCAAGCTCCACAGCCACATGGCAAGAATGTTGTGGAGTTTGAGACACAAAGGCAGATACACATCATGAGTGTGTGTGTGCAGGTGCAGAAGGGTGTTGCCTACGACAAGGCAGGCCGTCCATTCATCCCTGTGTTCGACGCGTCAACACAGCTGTCGTACATGATGTGTCCCCACTGCGACGCCACCAACCTGTTCAGATCGCGAGAAGCACTCGACAGACACATCAGGCAGACACAATGCAAACCACACGATGCCAAGAAGGACAGCAAACACTCACACCAACGTCAGTCGGCTGAGCACACACACACCGGTGTCTCGCTCTTTACCATGCCATGTATGTGTGTGTGTCTTTGTTGCCATGCAGTTGCGAAGGAGAGCCAGGCCAAGTCAGCGGCAGAGCCCATCCAGCCGCCCCACCCACCAACCAACGCCAACTCGCCGCCCCCACACCAGCAGCAGGCTGATGACGATGACGAGGCCACACAGAAGGGCGGCTCCTCACCTCCGGAGCTCGTCCTTGGCCTCAACGACATCCCGCCGCCTGACCCACACAATGACAACAACAGCAACCGTCGCGGCGCACATGACGCAGACACTGACAGAGACGCACTGGCCAACAAGGACAACAAGGCCAGCG